ATCTATGGGAAAGCAGAGACTCTGGACTAGGGACCGGGGCGGAATGCAAAAGGGCACAAAAGATTTTGGAGCCAGCAGGAAGACAAAAGAAGGACGAGAAGGAACAGCTGTTTGTAAAGGGAAACCTGAGACAGGCACAAAGCTCAGGCCCTAATCCCAGGCTCCTGTGGAGCCAGATTAGGGGTGCCCCCAAGGACAGGGAATCTAGGGCCAAAGGGTAGGAGCACTCTGCTCCACTCCAGGTTGGGTCCCTTCTTCCATGTGTGCAAACAGCTGGTGCCTCATTCCTCTTCTCGGGCCAAGCCTTCTGCCTCTTTCAGCCCCTCCCTTGTTCCCATCCCTTTGGGTTTGATTTCCTCTGATTTCCTTTTTTCTACACTGGGGTCTCCTATAATATACCCTAGAGCACCCCTCCCCCATTCCTTGTAGTAATTTTAGCAACTTTTCCTCTGAGTGCCCGCTGGCATATTCATAGCAAATGGCCTCTGTTTGGGCCTGACACTTGATCGGGGTGGTGACAGAGGCCAGACAAAGCAGGCACAATGCCTGAGAGGGGAGAGGAGGGAAGAACCGGGGAGACAGATCACCTTCCTTCCACTCCAGGCCTTATTTGGTCTACCTTGGTGGAGCTGCCCTCCCTCTAAACCCTTTTTATTTTTAGCATGCTCTCCTTTGTCTTGTCTGTTATCACTCTGTACTACACTGTGTGATCCCCACCCCTCCCACCCAGCGGGGCCCTGAGGCCCCTCACCCCACTCCCATCAGGAATGTGCAGTGAGCAAAGACTCCGCCCAGGCTTGGATTTCAATTCTGCAAACAGTTGAGTAGAGCTGCCTAGAGGAGGGTTTTTATTTTGGTCACCAGTAGATCCCTATTGACTAGAACAATGCCTGGCACATTGTAGGTGCTTAGTTAATAGTCCCTGAATGAAGGAATCAGCAAAGCTGCTCAGTCTTCAGATAATAGCAAGCAGAAAGAATCATGATGGAGCCAAAAGCAGGTGTTAGAGAATGAGTAGGGATCTTTAAAGACATTAGACCTTCCCATCAGTCTCCAGATCTGAGGCAGAGAGCCTAGAGGCAGGGAGGTGAGTTCTATTCTGCAAAGGGTTGTGGAAAACAGTAACAGGGTAACACCAGTAGGCCACTGCCTGGCAAACCCACCAGGAGGGAAACAGGGTAGATTGATTTGCAAAAGATAGGAAAGGCTTCCCAACTCCACAGCCATGGAGGCTGGCCCCTGGCTTTGAAATGGCTCAGCCATGTCCCAAGCATTCTTGGTGCATCTCAATTGCCTGCCTCTGTGCCTGAGCCCTGGGAAATCAGAGAGAGACGATGGCTTTGAGCTTGGAAAGTTGGAAAGGGTGGATGAAAAGAGATTTTGCCCTTCATTTGCAATCTCTGGGGACCCTTCCAGTGCGCCTAATTCCTCAGCACCTGGCAGGGCCAGGTAGGGATACCCAGAGTTTGTTTTGCTGGGCATATTAGCAGCTAGGTCCATGGGGGCCATCCTAGCAGCTGTATACCTCAGCACTGTAGAGATGCTGCTACCCTGAAGGAGGTCCTGAGTTTGTGGGCAACCCCTCACTTGCCTGCACCCGCCACAGCTGCTAAATGCCTTCAGGCTGTACCTTGTTTACTAAGCAGTCCCCATTGAAGCCCCCACCTAGACTTACTCTTCCCTGCTGTGCCCACCCCACCTTCAAAGTGTACCTCCTCTGCCCCTATCCTCCAGGCCTGCAGCTCTCCATCCAAGGGGACAGCTAATCAGAGAGGTTAATCCGCATGCGCTGAAACACTGAGCTTGGGAAGGGGGGGGGGTGGGATTTCAAACCGAACCAAGCAGTGGTTGCCTGGACACGGAGCCAATGAAGCTTACACACCCCGTCGCTGGAATAACGTGGCATTGGCTATGTCCTGTCCTCCCAGGCTGAGCCCCAGCTCTCTTCCCTTACCTCCTCTGTGGCTGCTCCTAAGACCTACAGGAAAGGGAGAGATCTTTCCTATTCCTCCACCCCGCTTGTCAGAACACCAGTCTCACCAGGCCTGGACAGAGACTGACCCACAAAACACAAGAGGGTGGGTAGCCAGGCAATGGCTGTCTTGGTTAGCGGTCTCCTGTGGCTTTGAGTGTCTGGCTCTGGGCTAGACATTTAGTACCTGTGGGCAGAGCTGGAAAAAGGAGTTAGGTAAAGGCTCCATCAGGCAGGACCATCTGGCAGCTGGGCCCTGCCCTCCACACATAGTGGGTCCTCACCTCCTTAGACTCCCAGCCCTCCTTACCAGCCTCCCTCCACGGGATGGCTCTGTCCCCCATCTGCTGAGTTTTCTCCCCACCCTTGAATCTTGCTGCCCTAACTGGCTGCACAGCCTTAAAGAAGGAACTTTCTCTTTCCATAAAATGAAGGACTTGGACTCATCACTAAGGCCTGTCTGGCTCTGAGGCTCAGTGACATCAACACATCACCTGGTTGATCCAAGGAAATCGGTACCTGAGCCAGAGTCCCCATCTTTAAGCTCCCTGGTTGTTGTTCTCGTCATTTGGCTAGAAACCCTCTCTCTAGCTGCCCCTGTCTAGCCTCCACTTTGGGGCCAGGCCCCCAACTCTGCCCTACCTGTTGCTGACACTCAGACCCCTCCCAACTCACAGTTGAATGCAGGACCCAAGCCAGGGATCATGGAAGACGCTGTGCAAGTGGAGCCAGGCCAGTGCTGGGGACAGAGGGCTGAGGGGCTGCAGTATCAGAGGGCAGGAGAGCCCTGGGGGAGGGCCAGAGCCCTGCCTGCCTGAGGTCACGGTGGTGGGTTGTGGTCAGTTCGCTCTCCTGCCAGCTGTGGAATGTGAGGCCTGGCCTGGGAGATATTTTGGCTGCACTTTGAGCCATCCCCGCCCCCTGGAACTCAGACCCTGCACACTCCATGCCATAACAATGACGACCACTTCCAATTGTTTCCTAGCTGGAAGGGGGAGGGGAGCCCTGTTTAGGAAAGGGGGGAGCCTGGGGGAAATGCTTCTAGTGACAACAGCCCTTTCTAAATCCGGCTGGGGACTGGGTGCAGGTGGGGGTGGGGGCACCCTGCTGCCCCATATATACAGCCCCTGACCCGGTCGGTCTCCACAGCTCTCTCCTGCACTCTGTCTGTCCTTGCTGCTTTCAGGTAGGAGCCCAGAGCTGGAGGCCTTTCTCTGGGATAAGGGAGTCCCAGGCTTAGGAAGGGGCTCCTCTAGGAACAGCAAGCTGCATTTAGGCTTCATGCAGAGTACTGGGTCTGGTCACTTAGCACACACGTGGAGGTCTAAACATACGTGTATGTGCCCTGGGAGGAGGGAGATATCTGTACCTGAGCATATGGGACCAGAATCCATCAGAGGTGTGTGTGTGTGTGTGTGTATGTGTGTGGTGTACAAGCATGCATGGTCTGAACGCATGGTGAGCGAAGGTACGTACCTCACTGCCTAAGATACAGAAATATCAAGTGGAAAACGTGTTTATAATCATGCCTAAGGACAGGCAGGTCCATTGCGGGGGAGGGGGAAGGGAAGAGGATGGCAGAGACCGATTACTTAGGAAGTGTGTGTGCTTAAAAGCTAGTTCTGTGAGGTCTGTGCTGTGTCACTACCCACGTCCACGTACATGGAGATGTTTGTGGGTGCACCCAGGTGTTGAGACTGCTACAGTGTGTGTACACCTTGCAAAAAGAGCTCCTGGGCACCTGGTGTGGCTGTTCCAGGTCTCTGTGTACTCAACAGTGTACAGCAATGTAAGCCTATTTATGCTGTCCACATATTTAATGTGCATAATGGCACACGGGGGGAGGCGGTGTATGCTCAGGTTTAGAAAAGAAGCACGTCTGTATGAGGCATGAGCAGCAGACACGTATGTTCATCAGAGAACATGTAGAATGTGTTCAGCTGTGTGATGGGTATGTATGAGAGGATGCCCACCGGGTCTCCTCTCTGAGAATTTCCACCAAGACTGACGATCAAATGGGGACAGGATAGAAGAGAACTGGCTTTAGAGTCATGAGACTTAGGTTCAAGTCCTGGCTCCGTTTCTTATTGTTATGTGTTCTTAGATAAGCAAGCCCCTTAATCTTGATTTCCTTATCTGTAGAATGGGGTGAGGATTGAGTAAGAGAATATACATAAAGGTGCTTTGAAGGCTGTAAAGCTCTGAACAAACGTGACCATTAGTTTTTCCACAGGTGGCTCAAAGAAGGCAAGTTTCACTTGTCGGGTATAGGCAAGGGTGGGACCATCTCCCAGGAGGGAGGGGGATTAGAACTCAGAAAACTGTTAGGACTAGTGCTTGGTGGCAGGGAGGCGGTGTGTGGTGGGGAGGGGGCGCGGGGAGGGAATAGTGTTTGGAAAGCAAGGGAGAGGACAGGACCAGTGAAGCCGACTACCACTTCCCACCTATTTTCAGGCCTAGGGGAGGGGTGGGTGGGTGCTAAAGGGCAGAATCAGGGAGCAGTGGGGAGGTGGCCCTGACATAGCCTTCCCTCTCTCCAGGTCCCTTGAAGACTTGAGCCGCTTTCCTCTCATAGACATATCTGAGAAGCCAAGGTCAGGAAAGCTGAAGATGGGGTATGGGGGAATCTGGGAAGATACAGAACTCTAGTTTCTGCCTTGCCTTGAGGATAGTGTCTTGGCGACCAGAAGTCCTCACCTGTGAATAGTGAGGGAGTCAGGGAAGGACAAGGGCCAGAGATGCATATAGTCAGCTTCCTGCTCTCACAGGAAGCCCAGGACACTTCCACCCTCCAGGAGAGCCCCAGCTGAACAAAAGATAGCCTCTTCTTCTGCCCAAAAGATTTGCTAGGCATCTCAGGTTAAAGGATAAACTCAAGGAACAAGGGACTTGCCAGTGACCCCTCCTGACTCCTGAGCATGGTGCTAGGTTCCCGGGTTCCCACTGAAAAAGGAGAGCCCAGGGAGACGAGTGGAGGAGAGGGAGGGTGAATGAAAAGGCAGCCAGCTCATTCTCCTGCCCACTGCAGGTGCAGCCATGGGAGATGCAGAGATGTCCGCATTTGGAGCCGCTGCTCCCTTCCTGCGCAAGTCAGAGAAGGAGCGGCTGGAAGCCCAGACCAGGCCTTTTGATCTCAAGAAGGATGTCTTCGTGCCTGATGACAAAGAAGAGTTCGTCAAGGCCAAGATTGTATCTCGAGAGGGTGGCAAAGTCACCGCTGAGACTGAGAATGGCAAGGTGGGTGGCAGGGTTGGCATGAGAGGCCAACCTGGATACCCCCCACACCCTGGGTGTAAGAGAAGGGTGCCTCTAGGATCCACCCCACACGGACCTGAGGACAGTCCAAGTTTCACTTCCTTTGGATAGGGACCCACACCCTCCAAAGAGCCCTTCTTGCTCTCACATCTAGTCTGTCTTCTCTGTGATCCTGGCTCCCCTCCTGAACACCATTGTCCTGTAACTCCCCTGACTCCTACCCCTGCTGAGGGAGGGCTGACAGTAAGGCCTGCATGTGGGTTGTTGCAGACAGTGACTGTGAAGGAAGACGACTTGTTGCAGCAGAACCCACCCAAGTTCGACAAGATTGAGGACATGGCCATGCTGACCTTCCTGCACGAGCCCGCGGTGCTCTACAACCTCAAGGAGCGCTATGCGGCCTGGATGATCTACGTGAGTGTACCGCCTAGGATATCCCCCTGAATCTGGTAGCTGTCTGGTCCCTGCATATCCGCTGCTTGGTGACAAGAGTTTCTGCTCTTTGCGCCCAGGCAGTATTGCGCTCTGTCCTAGTCCCTACATTTTCATTTCAGCCCTAATACTCCAGGGACTTGCATTACTCAGATGTAGTGCATTCATAGATTTTCCTTTCTCTTCTTCTACTAGGATCTTTCTCTAGCTCTGAAAACTGCCATCCCCCCCGACTCTTCATCACTAGCAACTCACTTCTCCTTTTCTACCCCTAGACCTACTCAGGCCTCTTCTGCGTCACCATCAACCCCTACAAGTGGTTGCCAGTGTACAATGCTGAGGTGGTGGCCGCCTACCGGGGCAAGAAGAGGAGTGAGGCTCCACCCCACATCTTCTCCATCTCCGACAATGCCTATCAGTACATGCTGACAGGTAACAGGCCCTGAGTGAAGGATTTTCCTGAGGGCCCTACAGGACGGAATGTGCGCTTCCTCCTTCTGAGGGATTCAGGCAGCTGGGAGAGGCCTGGAGAGGGGGTGGGGGATGCCAAACAAGAGCATTCAGTGTGACTCCTGACTTTTCCTCCCCATTCTCCCTACAGACAGAGAAAACCAGTCCATCCTGATCACGTGAGTGTGGTTCCTACCCTGTTCCCTTGGAGAATCTCCCCTAGCCCATCCCCCACCGGGCCCCCAGTCACTATGCACAGCTGGCTCTTTTCCCTCTACCTTCATGCTAGCTCCTCCTTCTTCTCTGGTCTTTCCCCTTACCTTCTCTTTGCTCTCCCCCTTCCTTCTCTTATTCTTCCTCTCCCATCTCCTTCACCCACTCCCCTCCAACTCATCACTTCTCCCTAAAACCAGTGTCACCATGTCTTCTCCACCTCTTCATTTTCTTTCATCTTTCCCGTCAGAAACTGTCCCCATTCTTCCAGCCCCAACCACTCTTACTCAAAACGACCCAGGCCCATCTCCTTTGATTAACTTTGCCCAGCTAAGACCAGATTCCACCTGCCCAAATCCAGCACCTTCTTGTGTCATCCTTCCTGGCTGCTACCTATGACCCTGTGTATGTCAGAGTGCAACTGTGTGTTTGGGATGCATTGTGCCTGGCAGCTGCCTGCCTCAGGGCTCCCACTGTCTAGTGGGACCAGGCACTTGCCCCCAACCTGAGTCTTGTTGGCCTCAAGCAGTGTTTGTGCACTGCCTGATGAGCCCCTGAATGTCCTCACAGTGGAGAATCCGGTGCCGGGAAGACGGTCAACACCAAGAGGGTCATTCAGTACTTTGCTGTTATCGCCGCCATTGGGGACCGCAGCAAGAAGGACCAGAACCCAGGCAAGGTAGGCCTGTTGTCCTCCAAAGGCCCACACCACAAAAAGGGAGGGGTGCCCTCTCACCTTCCATCCTCTTGAACTCTACAGGGCACCCTGGAGGACCAGATCATCCAGGCCAACCCTGCCTTGGAGGCCTTCGGCAACGCCAAGACCGTCAGGAATGACAACTCCTCCCGCTTCGTGAGTGGTCCCTGACCTGGGACTTGGGGTTTGGTTTGGTCAAGGGATGGCACTGACTATGAGTTTTCCTTCAGCTCATCACTACTCTCCTCCATCTCTCCAGGGAAAATTCATTCGAATCCATTTTGGGGCAACTGGAAAGTTGGCATCTGCAGACATAGAGACCTGTGAGTGCCACGAATTTGCTAGGGCTCACGCTGAGCTCACCCTCATTCTAACCTCATTCAACCTCTCTCTCTCTCCTCTCTGTCTCTTTCTCTCCAGGTCTCTGGCCCTTAGCCTTTCTCCCTCTCTTTTTGTCTCTGTCCCTCTGTGTCTCTGTGTCTCTAGGTCTGTGTATTCATCCGTCTCTAAAATTGCCTCTGGTCTTTCTTTATCTCTGTCTCTGCAGGTCTGTGTGTCTTCTCTGAAACTATTTGTCTCCTCCTGGGTTTCTTTCCATCTCTACCTCTGTGTGTATGAGTCTCTCTCTCTCTCTTCCTCTCCCTCTCCCTCTGCCTTTTGCTTGCTATGTTCATTATTCCTTTTTGTCTATTTCATTGTACCCAAATCCCAATCTTCTCTTACTCTCTTCTCCCCTAATGTTCACAGACCTTCTGGAAAAATCCAGAGTTATTTTCCAGCTGAAAGCAGAGAGAGATTATCACATTTTCTACCAAATTCTGTCTAACAAAAAGCCTGAGCTGCTGGGTGAGTCAGAGCTACCAACTGAGACCAACCATCTCCATGGCAACCTGGTCCCCTCTGCTTCTGGCTGCTTGTTGGCATGCCCTGGGGTTACAGCACTTCTAGATTCGGTTCTGTGGGATGTGGGGCCATATCAAGCCCTATCATGTGCTCTCCTGCAGTCCCCATGCTGTGCCAGTAAGAGCCAGGGGTTTACGCCACATCTTAACCACATCTTCTTCCCCCAGACATGCTGCTGATCACCAACAACCCCTACGATTATGCATTCATCTCCCAAGGAGAGACCACTGTAGCCTCAATTGATGACGCCGAGGAGCTCATGGCCACTGATGTAAGTGTGTAAGGACTTAATCGAGAGGTGAGGGAACTGGTGATGAGAGGCAAATGAGGTCATTCCACTGGTCCAGGAGTAGAGCTGACATTGGCTTGTTCATAGTGGTATGGCCCTCCCTTAGGGGCAGCATATCTCTCTGACTAAGGTATTCTGGGGTATGGGTGTGATGAGACAGGGCTGGTCAATATTTGGTGTTCAGTAACACCAGAGTAGGCTGAAAGCCATAAAACAGATAAGCCGACAAGCTAAGAGATAAGGCATCGCCAAGGGAAGGGGGTTGGTCAGGGTCATGCAGATGCTCTGGGCTGGGCAGGCAATTAAGTAAAGAAGGGATATGGATGGGTATGGAAGATCCAGGCGGAGAAGCAGGTGTAGGGCCTAGAAAAAGGACAAAAGTAAGAAACATGCATGGCTAACCCAGAGCACCTCCAGAGAACAGCTGCGACCACTGACTTCAGGGCTGAGGCAGTCTGCGCCCCACTGTGTGCTCGTACCTTTGTTTCGGAGTTCCCACTGGGTATGGGAGTCTCAGAACTCACAAGGATTCAGGAGATGAGCTCTCTCTACAACTGAAGAGGGATTTCAATCATCTGCCTTTCTACCCTTCCTGTGGTTCCCCAATATGGGGCCTGCCTACAGAACGCCTTTGACGTACTGGGCTTCACTCCAGAGGAGAAGAACTCCATTTACAAGCTGACGGGTGCCATCATGCACTTTGGAAACATGAAGTTCAAACAGAAGCAGAGAGAGGAGCAGGCTGAGCCAGATGGCACCGAAGGTGGGAGCCTGGGATGCTGGGGACAGCTGTGGGGTCACTGAGGGCCACATCTGCAGAGGAGTCATCCCTTTATCAACTTTGCTACCTGCCCTTTCCTTTCAGAGGCTGACAAGTCTGCCTACCTCATGGGGCTGAACTCAGCCGACCTGCTCAAGGGGCTATGCCACCCTCGTGTGAAAGTGGGCAACGAGTACGTCACCAAGGGGCAGAGCGTGCAGCAGGTTAGGTCATATTCAGAAGATAAATGGAAATGGGGACTGGCACGGTGCTGTGGGAGCTCTGGAATCCACTCTTCCCAACTCTGATCACCTGGGTTTCTCCCCTACCCTCCAGGTGGCGTATGCCACTGGGGCACTGGCCAAGGCAATGTATGAGAAGATGTTCAACTGGATGGTGACGAGGATCAATGCCACCCTGGAGACCAAGCAGCCACGCCAGTACTTCATCGGAGTCCTGGACATCGCTGGCTTCGAGATCTTCGACGTGAGTGGGGGAAGCCCCTGGGCATGGGAGGAACAGTAACTCACTCATTGGCACATGCAACAACCTTCATTGAATGCCAGCCGCAGGCCAGGTGTGGGAAAGGCGGTGGGGTTCGGCGGTGAGGGAGGCTGTCGTGGTCCTGTCTTCAGGGTCAGCGCTCCCCCTCTGTCCTGACAGGGGAGTGGATCAGCCACAACCCTCACTGGGCTGGACACAGCCCCAGAATGACTCCTCCGGCCACTGGGCCACCTGCCCACCTGACCCCCTCCTGCCCTCACTCCCCCTGCAGTTCAACAGCTTCGAGCAGCTCTGCATCAACTTTACCAATGAGAAGCTGCAGCAGTTCTTCAACCACCACATGTTCGTGCTGGAGCAGGAGGAGTACAAGAAGGAAGGCATCGAGTGGACATTCATTGACTTTGGCATGGACCTGCAGGCCTGCATTGACCTCATTGAGAAGGTGCCACCTCAGCTCCACCTGACCTTTCCACTCACACCCACGTGAATGCCCCAGACAAAATTTTAGCCCCATCCCTTCTGGAGAACAAGAGCTGGAAAACAGAAGAACCTGGAGCCCTGGTTTCCAGAACTCTGTGTTGTCCTAGCCACTCAGGGTAGGGTGGCACCTGGGAGAGCTAAGTTCCCAGGAGCTTGAGAGTGGACATGCAAAGGCACGCACTTTCAGGATGGCTCCCACACCAGTGTGTTTATTGCCCCTGGCTTACCTTTCCAAGGAGCAGAAAGTTTGAGGATGGGGCAGGGGATCGTAAGAGTACACCTGTTTTCAAACCCAGCATCTCAGGGATCTGGGTCATAGAGTAGTGTGTAAACCATCTCTCGCATCCACATTCTCAGACTTTCACAAAGGTCTCTCTGAAATCAGCCAAAGTCTTCTACCTTGGGAAGGCCTTAACAGGTATCACTCAGTAGATAACTGTACTCAGAGCCGAGCCTGATATCTTATATCTAAAGGGGCATCTCCATAAGTGAATGTTGACCCTAGAGCAGGATCCATCCCCATCTGCATGAGGCATGCTCAGTGATGCTCTGTCCTCTACCCTCAGCCCATGGGCATCATGTCCATCCTGGAGGAGGAGTGCATGTTCCCCAAGGCCACTGACATGACCTTTAAGGCCAAGCTGTACGACAACCACCTGGGCAAGTCCAACAACTTCCAGAAGCCGCGCAATGTCAAGGGGAAGCAGGAGGCCCACTTCTCCCTGATCCACTATGCTGGCACCGTGGACTACAACATCCTGGGCTGGCTGCAGAAGAACAAAGACCCACTGAATGAGACGGTGGTGGGCCTGTACCAGAAGTCCTCCCTCAAGCTGCTCAGCAACCTGTTCGCCAACTATGCTGGGGCCGATGCACGTAAGTAGAGACTGGGACCCCGGGAACTAAGGAGCAGGGTTTCTTCCCTGGATCTGAGGCAGGTCAGTTGCTACACCCCACCACTCTATGTCAGGCTGAGCCCAAGATTTACAGGTTCAATGAGGTAGAACTGGGTGGAGAAACTGAGGCACCCACAGTGAAGGCCAAATGCCAGCGAGGATGTGGAGAGAGGCTGTGACTCTTCACCCCTGCCCTGGCCTCCCCAGATGCCCACTCATGCCCCTTTTATGACTCTCCATTCCACAGCTGTTGAGAAGGGCAAAGGCAAGGCCAAGAAAGGCTCATCCTTTCAGACCGTGTCAGCTCTGCACAGGGTGAGTGTGTGACCTCAGCCCCAGCCCAGCGTGGCTCCTTCCCAGCGTGGCTCCTTCCCTCCTTCATCCTGACCCCTGCCTCCTCATTCCACTGGTGATCCTTTCCACTCTTTGTCTTATCTCTTCATCTTCATTCTCTTCCTCTTCCTCTGCTGACCTCTTTCCTTATTCAATTCCCATCTCACCTCTTTTCTTTCCCTCCTGCCTTCCATTCTCTCCTTCCTGTCTTCCCCTAGCATTCCTTCATTCTCTTTAGCTCCTTGCATTCTCTCCATCTCTCTGTCTTCCTTCCTCTCCTTTCCCTTTGTTGCTTCTCTTTCACTGTCTTTACTTTCCCCCCTCGATTTTTGGCCCACAGGAAAATCTGAACAAGCTGATGACCAACTTGCGCTCCACACATCCCCACTTCGTGCGCTGCATCATCCCCAACGAGACCAAGTCTCCAGGTGAGCCCCTAAACTCTGGCCCAGCCCACTGCTGGAGATGCACCACCCTGGGGACAGGGCCTTTTATGTCATCTCCTAATCTCCCATCATGGTGCTTTCCAAATCACATTCTTCTCCTCCCGACCCCCATGAGGTCCCGCAGGCCACCCCCCAACCAATGCTATCTCACATTCATTGGTTGGCCACCCCCCAACCAATGCTATCTCACATTCGGAATGTGGAACTCAGGGTAATGTGTAAGGTACTTCGATGGACATTACCTCGAACGTAACTTACAACCCCCAATGAGACACGTAAGGATTCTTTATCCCTTTTAAACTGATAAGGAGATAGAGATTCAGGGACCTGGGTTGAAGGCCTGGCTCTGTTCTGATCAGCTTAGTGACCTTGGTTGGTCAAGTCCCTTAACTCTTCTGGGCTTAGTTTGTTATCTAGAAAATGGAATATATCTGCCCTGGCTACTGCTGATGATTATAGGCATAAATCATATAAAATAAGAAACATGAAAGCCTTTTGGTTACTCTTAAAAGTGGGCTAGAAAAAATTAAAAACATAAAGGATCATTATTAACTGACTTGCTAAGGTTACCAGCTAATAAGTGGCAGAGCCAGGATCAGAACCCAAGACTGTTGGCACTTAGTCCAGTACTCTCCACATACACCCCTCTCCCCTCCCTCTGCCACAGGGGTGATGGACAACCCCCTGGTCATGCACCAGCTGCGCTGCAATGGCGTGTTGGAGGGCATTCGCATCTGCAGGAAGGGCTTCCCCAACCGCATCCTCTACGGTGACTTCCGGCAGAGGTGGGTACAGGGCACCCCAGAGTCCAGGGAACAGGGGAGCCCGGGTGGCCTTGGTGGGGAGTGGAGTCTGTGGGTGACCCCGAATTCTTAGAGAAGAGCAGATCAGTGAAGAACATGGGTGACTCCGGGTACCTCCCCCCAGGTATCGCATCCTGAACCCAACGGCCATCCCCGAAGGGCAGTTCATCGACAGCAGGAAAGGGGCAGAGAAGCTGCTGGGCTCCCTGGACATTGACCACAACCAGTACAAGTTCGGCCACACCAAGGTGAGTCTAGAACCTCAAAGGATGGAATTACAGGGTGTGTGGCCATGTCAAGTGGAGCAACTGGGAGTTCAGAAGGCAGACCTCTGATTCTCAGCTTCCTATATCAACCCAAAGACAGGAAGCCAGGCTTCCTTTCTGTCTTGTCTTTCGCATTTCACTCCCAGTCTAGAATGAGTTGGTGATAGGTCCCCTTGGAGCTGAGCCAGGGTCACCCACCATCTTTCTCCACCCTGGATACCTTTCTCTGACGCTGTGTCCCCCTTGACTCTCCCCCTTGCCCGCAGGTGTTTTTCAAGGCAGGGCTGCTGGGGCTGCTGGAAGAGATGCGAGATGAGAGGCTGAGCCGCATCATCACCTGCATCCAGGCCCAGTCTCGGGGTGTGCTCTCCAGAATGGAGTTCAAGAAGCTGCTAGAACGCAGGTAAGAGATCTCAAAAGGAGATTCCCAGCCATCTGATGCCCAGGCTGGCTCAGGGGCAGTGTCAGGAGAAAGAGCTCTGACACTGGGTCTTCAAACAACAAGACCAGCAGGAAGGACTCATACAGACTCGTACAGGGTGGACCTCACAGTTGGAGAAAAGAATGGATAAAGGAAAGGGCCATTCCCTAGGAGTCAGGGCCTCAGGACAGAAAGGAGGGAGGAGGACTCTCTTACCACCCCTCTCGCTGGGCCCTGCAGAGACTCCCTGCTGGTAATCCAGTGGAACATTCGGGCCTTCATGGGAGTCAAGAACTGGCCCTGGATGAAGCTCTACTTCAAGATCAAGCCGCTGCTGAAGAGCGCGGAGACGGAGAAGGAGATGGCCAACATGAAGGAGGAGTTCGGGCGCCTCAAAGAGGCGCTGGAGAAGTCCGAGGCTCGCCGCAAGGAGCTGGAGGAGAAGATGGTATCCCTGCTGCAGGAGAAGAACGACCTACAGCTCCAAGTGCAGGCGGTGAGGCTCTGGGCCCCTGTTGGCTCTTCCACCTGCTCTGCCTACATCTGCCACATACCCTGAACCTCCCAAACTAACTTTTAAAACACAGGCTTTCCACTTGGATTCATCTCAGATCCACAGCTCAATTATTTCATCAAGGGCTCACCATCTTGTCACCTTTCAGGCAGAGAATTCTGGAATCAACACTTCCAAAGACCTCCAAAGAGGTCCCTCAAGAGGAGGAAAGGGAAGGGGGAAAAGAACTAACTTTTAAAACACGGGCTTTCCACCTGGATTCATCTCAGATCCACAGCTCAATTATTTCATGACCTTGGGCAAACCATGTGTTATCTTTGGATCTCAGTATCTTCATCTCTAGACAGGAAATAAAGCTGCCCATCTCACTAGATTGTAAATACATAAAGTGCTAGCATTGGCAAACGCAGTTCCCTCCCTTCATTGGAAGAGAGCAGAGGAAGAGAGGCAGATAAAGAGACTTTTGGTTCTCTTCCCTCTATTCTTATGCCCCAATGTTCCTGTCAGTGGGGGAATATTGAGGTTCTGAGGTTCTTCTCAGTGGGGGATATCCTGGAGCTCCCCTCCTATAGTGAAGGCTGAGCCCCTTCCTCTCTCTGCCTGCCGTGGCAAGGACCTGACTCACTGAGCAGCCTCCCCTCTGGCCTCAACCCCAGGAACAAGACAACTTGGCTGACGCAGAGGAGCGCTGTGACCAGCTGATCAAAAACAAGATCCAGCTGGAGGCCAAGGTGAAGGAGATGAACGAGAGGCTGGAGGACGAGGAGGAGATGAACGCCGAGCTCACCGCCAAGAAGCGCAAGCTGGAAGACGAGTGCTCTGAGCTCAAAAGGGACATTGATGACCTGGAGTTGACGCTGGCCAAGGTGGAGAAGGAGAAGCATGCAACAGAGAACAAGGTGAGGTCAGCTTCCTCTGGCTCCATCCTAGGTCTCCTCAGGGTTGTAAGGCTGCACCGACCTTAACCAAGGCCAGGCAGCTCAGGGGATCCTGATAGCAGTATGGTCCTTGGCATTGGAGATTCCATAGATGTCTTCAGAGTGGCGACCTTTGAACCTAAAACGGACAGGGTTCTTGGTTGGCAGGTGAAGAACCTGACAGAGGAGATGGCTGGCCTGGATGAGATCATCGCCAAGCTGACCAAGGAGAAGAAAGCTCTGCAAGAGGCTCACCAGCAGACCCTGGATGACCTTCAGGCTGAGGAGGACAAGGTCAACACACTGACCAAGTCTAAGGTCAAGCTGGAGCAGCAGGTGGATGATGTGAGTAGCTTGTCAGAGGACCTAGATATACCACATTCATCTGTGCTTGTGTGTGTGCGTGTGCGTGTGCGTGTGTGTGTGTGTGTGTGTGTGTGTGTGTGTTTGGGGGGCAGGGTATTGGACTGTGCTCCCTTTCCTGAAACCTTTCTAGAAGGGAACTGGGGAATAGAGGAGGGGAAACATGATCAAATCTGAGTTGTGTATCTCATCTCGCTGACGTGATCAACAACGAAGATGGGCTTCATTATTTTAATTTAGGTTCAAGCCTATATATCTCTACCTTCAACCACAGGATTTAAAGGGGTATCTCATAAGAACATGATACATTTCTTTGGGAATTTTATGAGTCTCCTCAAGGAGGGTCTTTGGACTTCTGATATTTTAGGCAGGATCTGGTCCTCAGTGATTATTCTCCCCTCAGATAGTTCTTTGTGCCTTATCTTTATTGAGTCACTTATCACTCAGTATTATTATTGAAACATCTGTCTCAGCCATACAACTATGAGCTGCCTTTGAGCAGAAACTTGAATTTATTCAATTTTCTGTCTTTAGTTTTTAACATTGAATGAATGAATGTAGCTTTGGGGTTTCATCCCATAGTCATTCGTTCAATTATTTACCAGTTAGTGAGCATCCTGCATGTTAAGTGCTCTCATAGCATTTGGCCCCCTGGTAGCATTTGGCCCACTGTGGAGAAGTTTACCCAAACCCGGGATATTTCTTGGGATTCCCCCAACCCTGGAGTGACTAAGCCTTCTAATCACCAAGTCAGGATGCTTGACCTCATGGAGCACTCTGTTCCTTCTCCCCACCAGCTGGAGGGGTCCCTGGAACAGGAAAAGAAGGTGCGCATGGACCTCGAGAGAGCAAAGCGGAAGCTGGAGGGCGACTTGAAGCTGACCCAGGAGAGCATCATGGACCTGGAGAACGACAAGCAGCAGCTGGACGAGCGACTGAAAAAGTAGCGTGTTCTCTTCCCTGCTGCCTTTCCTCTTCCCCAACTCTGCAGCCTATTCCACCGATAGCAGTCCAAGCTGACCCAAGACACCCATCCTCAGAGGCAACAGCCTCATGTAGCCTCAATAAGTGGGTGCAAATGGTGGGCAAAGTCTCCATGGAAAGGACTTTCCTCCCCCAGAAAGGCACATCAGGGCCCAGCAGTTCCCCCTCAGCAAAGAGTCTAACTTGGATCCCTCAAGCCCTTTCTTCCTGTTGGGTACTCAAAAAGGATGGAAAATAACAGCTCACCCCTTTATACACAAGTCTCTTTGGAGACCAGTTGCTTAGCACAGAGGAAGGCTCCACTTTCTTAAAAGCCTCTTAGAAAATTCTCTTAGGTCCTTCACAGATAGCTAAGAGGGCCACAGAGAAATGCGTCAGCTGTCACACCTGAGCAGTGCAAAGTCTGGGCCATTTCTTGGTTCTTATAGACTTGTGGTTCTAATTCTTACTGCAAGTCCTTCCAAAATGTATATCTCCACTTTCCAACTTGGTAAACAATGGACCTGCAGAACATATTTGGATAATCGAGGGTCTTATGGTGCTTTAGGGTCAGGACTTTGAAAGGCTCTGAGAATCATCATGATCCACATCCTCATCAGGCTGTCTGCCCAGGAGTCTTCACACTTCCCTAGGCACAAGATTCATTTGAATGAATGAATAAATATATGATCCCTTTGATCCTCAAACCATCTTTTAAGGATGGTATTTTTGGTTCCAACTTACTGAGGAGGAAACAAAGGCTCAGAAAGTTTAATCACATTCAAAATAACAGTGACAGAATTAAAGACCATTGGAGCTAAAGGGGGCCTTTGAAACAATCTAGTTCAATCCCCTAATTTTATAGACCAAAGAGGGAGAGTCCCTCAGAGCCCAGGTCCTGTCATTCATAGTGTTCTTCCCATTACACTTCCTGTTGGACTTTAATCCTTCAGCAGGTGGACCCTCCATCAGCCCTGGAAGCTGTTTTTCTGATGAAATCCTGCTTTTCATTTGTTTAATTAGCATTTCCAACCATTGGTAGGCCCTCCTGGAGCCCAAAAGGCCTCCCTTGCCTCACCCTCCCTCCTTCCCCACAGGAAGGACTTTGAGCTAAATGCCCTGAATGCAAGGATTGAGGACGAGCAGGCCGTGGGTAGCCAGCTGCAGAAGAAGCTCAAAGAGCTTCAGGTAAGGTCTCGGATGCCCAGGTTGGGAGTCCCTGAGCTGGTCCTCAGCTTATCCAACCCCCTCCTCTAGGCTGTCCTCTCCCTAGCATTACAGACTAGGTGATCCAACGATGACATAGGAAGAGACCTTGAAAAGCTCACAGGTCTAGGGAACAGAAATCTTGTCTTCCTGTTTTAGCTCTGGTTTAGCCAATGACTGTGGGGGAGCCCACTCCAGGTCTCTGGGTTTCCACGTCCTCCCTGTTACCGGGTAGCTTTTAAGGGTGACTTCAGATCTTACTGTCAGAGCAGACACTTTTAGGTCTTTAGTTGTCTTGTCAGACAAACAGGGCTCTTGTAGTCTAACTTTTATTCTTTTTGCCATTAAACTGCTTAAAATATCCCTAGAACACAGGTCTCTTGGTCCATCTTCAAGAGCAAATAGTAACCACTTTCCTTCCAGTAAAAACAATGTTCTGGCCTAAAGAAAAACTAACTTGGCTGTCTAAACCATCTCCCCCAAATCCTTTTATTTCCATACTTCCACTGGTAGAACTAAACTGACCTGCTGTTCCAGACAGGCCAGAAGTCCTCTAGAGGCTGGGGAGGGGGCTCTGATGGAGGGTTCCAGGCCATGGGTCTGAGCCCCTTGTGTCCGGGCCCAGGCACGCATCGAGGAGCTGGAGGAAGAGCTGGAGGCAGAGCGCACCGCCCGCGCCAAGGTGGAGAAGCTGCGCTCAGACCTGTCCAGGGAGCTGGAGGAGATCAGCGAGCGGCTGGAAGAGGCCGGTGGGGCCACATCCGTGCAGATCGAGATGAACAAGAAGCGCGAGGCGGAGTTCCAGAAGATGAGGCGGGACCTGGAGGAGGCCACGCTGCAGCACGAGGCCACGGCCGCAGCCCTGCGCAAGAAGCACGCCGACAGCGTGGCCGAGCTGGGCGAGCAGATCGACAACCTGCAGCGCGTGAAGCAGAAGCTGGAGAAGGAGAAGAGCGAGTTCAAGCTGGAGCTGGACGATGTCACCTCCAACATGGAGCAGATCATCAAGGCCAAGGTGAGCCTGTGCTCAGCCTCTCCCCTCTTCCAATTTCCTCCTCCCACCTCCACATTCTGCCCATGTCTCCTCTCTTCGTTGATGGTTGTTTCCTACTTTCCTTCTTCTACCCAGTTCTCCAATCCTTTCCTTCTTTCTATGCCTTAATTCTTCCTTCTCCTTTAATTGCACCATACATACCTTTCAGTACCCTCTACAACCATTGTATGACTCTCCTTCCTCTTTCAGGCTAATCTGGAGAAGATGTGCCGGACCTTGGAAGACCAGATGAATGAGCACCGGAGCAAAGCCGAGGAGACCCAGCGTTCTGTCAATGACCTCACCAGCCAGCGGGCCAAGCTGCAGACTGAGAATGGTGAGCCCCAGCTGTCTCCCCTGACTTCCTGAGCCACCCCAGCCTTGGGTGGACACATACCTCTCCAGAGAATGGGGCCTGAGGGTTAAGAAGGGGCTGGGGAAGAGGGAAGTCCCTGGCCTTCAAGAGCTGAGTGTGCCTTGGTGCCTCTCTAGGTGAGCTGTCCCGACAGCTGGATGAGAAGGAGGCGCTGATCTCCCAGCTGACCCGAGGGAAGCTCACTTACACCCAGCAGCTAGAGGACCTCAAAAGGCAGCTGGAGGAGGAGGTTAAGGTGAGGCCTAGACTCAGGCCACATAGACCCTCCCCACCCCCGGAAGGAACATAGCAGCTGATCTTGCATCCACATCATTTCTTTTCCCCAGAATGAAGCTTGCTATATCCATCCATTATTCTCCCAGAACTCCCAAAGAAATAATAGCCTAGACCACACGGCATGCCTCTTAATTCTATTCCCTAGGCTGAGGTCCTCTGCCTTTCTACTGCCATCCCTGGAAAGGAGGTGGGGGCGCTAAAGGTGCCTGTGGTTCCTGGATTAGCAGGGCAATCTGAAACTGGAGAAGGAGTCACTAAAGCCTATTCCTAGCATTTCGCTGGGTTCATGAAAAGAGAGAAAGAATATGACTTTTAAAAAAGGCCGGAGCTCAAATCCTAACCTGCCTCTTAGAACTTGGTGATCATGGGAAAATCATCTAACCTCTCTGAGCTTCTATCTCCTCCCCTCAAAATGGGTGTGAGGATGATAATGCATGCTGCAGCAGGGAGCACAGGGGTGATGGGCGTGAAGCGTTTCATAAATAGTGCAGTGCTGTATGAGCATTATTTCTTATTAGTACTCAGTAAACCATTCCAGGCCACGGGAAGGCTGTTGAAATTACGATGAGGAGACAGGCAAGGGCTGGGGTTGCATTATGGAGAAAGCTGAGCCCATCTCCTGGTGCCTACCTCTCCAGGCAAAGAACGCCCTGGCCCACGCACTGCAGTCAGCCCGGCACGACTGTGACCTGCTGCGGGAGCAGTATGAGGAGGAGACGGAGGCCAAGGCCGAGCTGCAGCGTGTCCTGTCCAAGGCCAACTCAGAGGTGGCCCAGTGGAGGACCAAGTATGAGACAGATGCCATCCAGCGGACAGAGGAGCTCGAGGAGGCCAAGTGAGTCCCAGGCAGCCTGCCTCTGGTCGAGGCCCCTTTGCAGGCAGGACACAGCCCAGCCCAGTCCGATCCTCAGTAGATTCCACACAAAGGATGGATGCTTATCTAGGTTTTGACAACACAGGAGGACCTTGCCCCAGCCCCACCTCCTTCTCCCCTCGGGGAAGCTTTTTGCTCGCGTTATGTTTCTCATCCGAATATAAGACGAACAAAAGGTTTGTCTGAGGGCAGAGCGCTCCCACCTGGGGCAGGGTGCTATGGCAGGGGGAGGTGGGGTGGCCTCCGAAGCCCATGTACCCTCCATATCTTCAGCTTAAAGTCTGGCTCAGGGTCAGAGGGACGCCACCCAGAAGGCCCCCCTGTGTGCTGTGGGTCTTCACACCCTGACACCAAGACCTTCCGCTTGTCCAGTTCATGGCTCCCTGGGGCCCATCTTCAGCACTTCTGAGTTTTCAAGGATTGTTTTCCAAAAGAGTCATGTTGTTTCCTCTTGTCCAAAATCCATGCTCCCCATCCTCCCCACCCTCTCTCACCACCACCAACCCCACCTCTATGGGCAGAAAGAAGCTGGCCCAGAGGCTGCAGGACGCTGAGGAGGCCGTGGAGGCCGTCAACGCCAAGTGCTCCTCTCTGGAGAAGACCAAGCACCGGCTGCAGAACGAGATCGAGGACCTGATGGTGGACGTGGAGCGCTCCAATGCGGCCGCCGCAGCCCTGGACAAGAAGCAGAGAAACTTTGACAAGGTGGGCCCTGGTTGGGGACACAGCCAGGGAGCAGGGCATGGGTACCAGCATCAGTGTGAAGCCGGGGAACTTTTCCTTGGAAGCAGGGAGGAGGCCGAGCCTAGGCGAGGCCCAGACAGCTCCTGGAGGTGAGGGTTGGGCTGGAGCTGGGGGCATTGCAGTGAACCCCATCCCTGTCCCCACAGATCCTAGCCGAGTGGAAGCAGAAGTATGAGGAGTCACAGTCGGAGCTGGAGTCCTCACAGAAGGAGGCACGCTCCCTCAGCACGGAGCTCTTCAAGCTCAAGAATGCCTACGAGGAGTCTCTGGAGCACCTGGAGACCTTCAAGCGGGAGAACAAGAACCTGCAGGGTGCGCTGGGGCCCAAGGCCGGGAGGAGTGGGAACAGTGCCCACTTCTGGCCCTACACAGGGGCTACAAGAGGCATGCCCTCCCCCAATGGACCATGGCAGTGCCCAACTCTGCCTCCTGGCCCTTCCTACAGAGGAGATCTCCGACCTGACTGAGCAGTTAGGTTCCACCGGAAAGAGCATCCATGAGCTGGAGAAGATCCGCAAGCAGCTGGAGGCCGAGAAACTGGAGCTGCAGTCAGCCCTAGAAGAGGCCGAGGTGTGTGTGCAGAGGATCGAGGGGAAGCAGAGCTCTAGGCTATTGTCCCTGTTCTTATCTCCCTCTTTTCGGATTTGTTCACTGTTCCATCCTCGTAGCCTAGAACAGTGCCTGGCACATAGTGGGCACTTGACAAATATGGTGGAATGAACGAACAGGTCACTCAGTTTCCTTCTCACAAATGTTTTGCCTGTTACATCTTAGACAAGATTTCCTGTTTCCACTTCCCTCCCCTTTCACCTCTGCCTCCCTTTTGAGTTTTTTACATTCTGTTCCTGATCACCTCTGGTTCCTTGGCAACACCTTTTTCTTCATTTTTTTCTTTGTCTTCCTTGCTCACTGTCCTCTGCGAGGGCCTGAATCACCATCTAGGAGGCTTATTTTTCTTTTGAATTCTCTTTTCTTCTTCCTCCTTCTGCTTCTTTGACTGAATCACTTACACTACTCTTTAACTCACTTCATATGCATGATTCATGGACGGACCCCCACGCTGCCAGGTACCCTGACTCTCTTCCCCGGACCCTCTCTGCCCATTCTCAGGCCTCCCTGGAGCATGAGGAGGGCAAGATCCTCCGGGCCCAGCTGGAGTTCAACCAGATCAAGGCGGAGATCGAGAGGAAGCTGGCCGAGAAGGACGAGGAGATGGAGCAGGCCAAGCGCAACCACCTGCGGGTGGTGGACTCGCTGCAGACCTCCCTGGACGCGGAGACACGCAGCCGCAATGAGGCCCTGAGGGTGAAGAAGAAGATGGAGGGGGACCTCAACGAGATGGAGATCCAGCTCAGCCACGCCAACCGCATGGCCGCTGAGTCCCAAAAGCAAGTCAAGAGCCTCCAGAGCTTGCTGAAGGTACATGAGATTCTAGGAAGCAGGAAGGCAGCTCTCCAGAGAGGGGATGGCCTACACGTGGCCAAGTTGGGTGGCGGTGTCCCATCACAGCTCCAGATCCCTCCTGCCCCAGGGCCGTTGCAGAAACAACCCACAGGCTCCTCCTGAGCCACCACAATGGGCTCTTTATCAGTATTTCGGTGTAACAGCTCCCTCCCTCGTGCCCATCCCCCTGATCCACAGGACACCCAGATCCAGCTGGACGATGCAGTCCGGGCCAACGACGACCTGAAGGAGAACATCGCCATCGTGGAACGGCGCAACAACCTGCTGCAGGCCGAGCTGGAGGAGCTGCGGGCCGTGGTGGAGCAGACGGAGCGGTCTCGGAAGCTGGCTGAGCAGGAGCTGATCGAGACCAGCGAGCGGGTGCAGCTGCTGCACTCCCAGGTGGGCAGCTTCCCTGCGTGTTCCTGGAGGGAAGCGCCGGCTGGCAGGACCCAGTAAGTGAGGTTTGAGAGCCACTCATGGATGCTCAGTGCTTCTCATGCTCTGCCCACCCTCGCCCGCAGAACACCAGCCTCATCAACCAGAAAAAGAAGATGGATGCAGACCTGTCCCAGCTTCAGACGGAAGTGGAGGAGGCGGTGCAGGAGTGCAGGAACGCCGAGGAGAAGGCCAAGAAGGCCATCACGGATGTGAGTCCCCTCGCCTTGCCCACTTGTTCCAGGCCAGGGCCTCCTTCTTGGGCAGTCGGTGTGTGAGGACTTAGCCAAACCATGTGTCACCTCTCTCCTGTCCTCAGGCGGCCATGATGGCGGAGGAGCTGAAGAAGGAGCAGGACACCAGCGCCCACCTGGAGCGCATGAAGAAGAACATGGAGCAGACCATCAAGGACCTGCAGCACCGGCTGGATGAGGCTGAGCAGATCGCCCTCAAGGGCGGCAAGAAGCAGCTACAGAAGCTGGAGGCCCGGGTGCGAGAGCTGGAGAACGAGCTGGAGGCCGAGCAGAAGCGTAACGCGGAGTCGATCAAGGGCATGAGGAAGAGTGAGCGGCGCATCAAGGAGCTCACCTACCAGGTACGGGCCCTGCAGCTGCTCTGGGGCTGGGTCCTCTGCGCCATGACCTACAGCCAGGGTGACAACTACCCAAGAGGAATGAAGTGTTTTTTCTGAGCCTCTTCCAGGGCAGCCCCTGGATGCCCATTTCCACATTGCTGAGCCCTGTCCTGCCCTCAGGGTCCCCTGGCTCAGAGGTCAGTCTCTGAGCCTCCTGGCTGAGAGCTCCACCCCAGCATTGGACCTCAGCCTGTCCCCTGGGGACACACGCACACAGAGCTCTAGACAGAGTTCACCCTGCACAGGTTACCAGAAAGCAAATATGTAGTCAAGCTTTGGCCTGCTGCCATCACCACCAAAATACACTACAAATGTACCAAACTATCCAAACAAATCTAAAAAATTATCAGTTACACAAAAAGGTATAGACTTTAGCTTTCCACAGTGTTTTGTAGAACCAGACTCTCAATTAGATTTTCTTTCTGTTCCAATGCAGAAACTCAGCATCTCTCTATTGATATTGGTCCTTAACCTCAATCAAGTCTATGTAATTTCCCTGCAGGCCGGGAGGTCTCATCATGCCTGCAGTCCCAGAGTCCCTGCCAACATGTGCTGGTTTCTAGACCTGGGGGGCTTGTCCTTCATGGGGCTTCAGGACCTCCAAGGGCCTGCTTCCTGGAACATGCACACACAATTGAGTGCACTATTTCAGGAGTCCCATCGGCTCCCTAGACCCTTTCTTGGTACAAAACATTAAAAGTATTCATCCTTTTTTTTTTTTTTTTTTGATGGGGTAAGAAATTATAAGGAGAACTTGAGTGTTTGCTGAGGATCAGAAAGTAGAATTGGGTCAGGATATTACACCCAGGGTAAGGATGACAAGTAGGGGAGAGGTATGCTTCCTATGACTGTGAAGTCCTCACTTCTGACCACCCTTGACCCCCAGACAGAAGAGGACAGGAAGAACCTGCTGCGGCTACAGGACCTGGTGGACAAGCTGCAGCTGAAAGTCAAAGCCTACAAACGCCAGGCCGAGGAGGCGGTGAGTGACCCTGCTGGGGACTGATCCTGGAGGAGGGACACGGGGAAGCTGGCTGGCACCTTAGGCTAGGAGGCTGAGAACCCCAGATCCCCTCTCACCTCATCCTCCCGCCCTCTGAACCCCTGCAGGAGGAGCAGGCCAACACCAACCTGTCCAAGTTCCGCAAGGTACAGCACGAGCTGGATGAGGCGGAGGAGCGGGCGGACATCGCCGAGTCCCAGGTCAACAAGCTGCGGGCCAAGAGCCGCGACATTGGCACCAAGGTGGGTTCCCCATGCCCACTCCCGGGACTCGCTAGCTGCCCCATAGCAGTGTAACCCCCCTACACATCAGTGCCCTTTAGACAGAGCCCCCCACATGAGGGCTGCCTCCTCCATTCATACCCCAAGTGGGTGAGGTGATTCAGTCCTCTGTGGTTTCTAAGATTCTTCTAGCTCTCACTTTCAACGACTTTGTGAACCCCAGCTCTAGGGTGGTCGGCAAGCCTCGAATACCCCGCTTTATACACACCCAGTATGTCCCAATTTCCCCCAACCCCACTTCTCTTCCACCCAGTTTTGGCTTGCAACTTTGTAGTGCAAACCTAAAATGGACATCCCAGAGGATCCCTTGTCCTCACCCAGACCGCTGCCCCCTGGCTGACCCCAGAGCCCTACCCTCCAGAACTATCCTCCACACTGATCCCTAGGACACATCCCCCATCACCACAGGGCCCCCCGGTAGGCCACACAGCAGTCCCCCACCCCGCCAGGTGGCCCATCTCCTCTTTGTTTGCTGTGCCCATCCTGGCCCAGTGCCCACCTCTCTGGAGCTAAGTTGGACTTTGTTTCTTTTCAAAAGGGCTTAAATGAAGAGTAGCTTTGCCACATCTTCTTGGTCTGCCCAGCACTGAGGGTGCCAACGGGGCTCCCAATTCTGGAGCCTATAGAGCAGCTCTTTTGGAAGAAGCAGAATAAAGCAATTTTTCTCGAAGCGAGATCCTGCCTCTGGGCTCTTCTTCACTGCCTGCCACAGGAATATGGGGATGCAGACACGGGGGAGGGACGCGGGGACGAGGGATGGTGGCGTTCCAGAGGAACAAGGGCAGCTTCACAAGCCAGACCAAGGAGTCCTCCCTGGGGAGCCTGTGAGGCTCTGAGCGTCCCCGGTGCGGCACCCTATGCTCCCCTTCACCTCCTGCTCAGCAGCTGACGCCTCTCCTCCTAGCCCTCTCCCTGGCCCAGAGGCACTCAGGGTTAAAGAAGATTTAGGGAAACACTTAAGGCTCACCTAGAGCACATAAGCACATGTGCTAGGAACGTACACCTCAGCTCTGATCAATGCTGCCCCACTACCACCGACAACACTGGGGCTGGGCCGTAGGGAGGAGGTATATTGTGTAGGGGTGTCCTCTGCGGTGTGACCCAGTTGAGGGGGGCACAACCCTTCCAGACCAGTTACCACTCTCTCTAGCCACCCCTAGAGGCCAGCACCCCTCTCCCCACCAAACCAGAAGTGTACCCTCAGCACACCTTCATCGCCTCCTCTCCTCCTATGGCCTGGACCCCTCCATCCAGGGTGCTCCTTCTTTCTCCCCACTGTAACTCTGTTCCTAAGACTTTCCTCATCTAAGCGGGAAGATGGGGGATCTTCAGCTCATTTATAGCAGGCTATCTCAAGGGGAGGCAGGCAGATGAGGGACTAGGGATAGTCATGTGCAAACAGGACTCTGGGGAAGAGCAGGAGAGGATGGGTCGCTAGAGGGCTGGGAAGAAGGAGCAAGTCCCCCTCCAACTAAACAAGCCCAGCTGACCCTGGAGTCACTGCCACTCCTGGGCTACTCAACAAAGGCCTGGGACTGTGGGCCCTGGAGTGCAGGGGCTTGGGAGGTACCGGGACTGTCAGCCTCCTGCTAGGACTCCTGAAGCTCTGGTTCACCCTGGGACTGAATCTCCCCGCCCCCCACCGCCCCCTGCTCCACATAGCCACTGTCAGCCAAGCTCCTGCTCCGTCTTCCACTCTGAGCTCTTACTGCAGCAGCCAGAGTGAGGGTCTGTCCCAGCAAGAAGGGATGCCAGTATTAGAAAACAGAAGGGCAAGGGAGAGGGAGAAAGGGAATAGGGAAGAAAGAAGGAAAGACCTGAGGAGTGTGGCAGTGGAGAGAGAGGGAGCTCAGGAAACTGGGGGACAAGGTGACCAGGGAAACCAACAGAAAGAAAAGATACAGGGAGTGAGGAGAAAAGATCAACAGGCCATCCCACCTTCCTCCTCACACCCTGCTTCCTTCTCCCAACCCTAGGACCGCTCCCCTTCCTAGGAAGGACTTGGAGAGCAATGAGGAGATCAGTAGAGAAAAGAGAGGGACACACTTGGAGAGGGAGATACAGGGGACACCCAGAGAACCTAAGCTCCCAGGGCAGAAGATGGAGCAGAAGCTCTGGATGCTGAGAGAGTGGCGGGTGACAGTGAGTGGAGAGAGGACGGGCAGCTGAGCCACAGGAAAAGAGTGTGCCGAGAAGGGGTGGAGGGTGGAGAAAAGGAGGGTGAGTCTTGGTTAAAGGAGCCAGAAGAGCTTAGGGGGATGATCCTGAGCAAAAGAAAGAATCCTGAGTCACCTTCGGATGCAAGGAAAATCAGGAAAGCCAAGAACGGTGAGATTAGAGAGAGGTTGACAAAGACCCCGGAGCAAAACGTGGAAGCAGAGATGAGACGGGCAGAGGGCAAGCAGAAGTCAGGCTTAGAGAAAGCAGAGGCTCCTAGAAATGTTGGCATGTCAGACTCTGAGATGGGAAAAAACACGGCGCCAGGGAGAATCAGAGGACAAGTCCGACTTTGAGAAAGAGAACCAGGCAGAGAGAAAGGGAGGTCAGACCTAGAGACAGACAGAGATACAAAGAGCCAAGCAAAGAGAGGCGACTTGGTGCCAAGGAGGCTGGCCCTGCCTCCTTGTTCGCTCACCTGTAGGAGGAGTCTCCTTCCTGTGCCCTCACACTCCAGGACTTCCAGCAGAACGAGGAGCTGCTTTGGGAGGCAGCTGAGGAAGGATGGAGAACAAGTTTGGATGTGAGAGCCAGGGAAGTAGAGGGGCCTAGGAAAGGACGAGGAGGGCAAACCAAACCAGAAAAGGGGCAGAGTCCTGGAACCAAGTTAGCCCCTTCCCTCCTCCTCTTTCCATAGCAGACAACGAGAAATGCCTGCCACCCCTCACCCCACTTCACCTACACGAGTCTGGCCCGTTCAGAACATAGGGTTCCCTGAGGACAAAGCCTTGTCTTTGTCACCTGGACCTGACCCAGACTGACCTGGTGTTCTCAGCCCCTTATCATGTCCCCATGGCAATGGAAACCAGGCAGTGACGCACTGGGCCACCAGCTAAACCCTCACGTTGCACACTGGGACCTCAAGTAACCCAGAGCTGGGGACAGGTGGCTTGTATCCCCTGGGGCAATGATTTGTCATATGCACCTGCAGGAGATAGGAATGTGGGCTTGACTCAGTTCCCCCCAAGGACACTGGATATAGGGTACAAGTCCTCTGGAGATAGATGTGTATTCCTGAGTCCAATAATGGGGCAATGGAGGGTCCTAGGGAGTTGGGGACCTTGAGAGAGAAACGACATATTTAATGGAAAGCTCTCTTGCCCGAAGAAGCTGACCCCTGTCTGTCTTACCCATCTCCACACTCTAGAGCTATAATGAGAGGTGACAGTAGATAGGGAGGGGGGAGCTGAGGAGTGTTCTTGGGTGTGAGGGTGTGGGGAAAAGCCAGAGCAGGGGAGTCTGGCTTTGTTTCCTGAACACAATGTCCATTTAGTCATAACAGCACGGCCACTGAAGACCTGACACCTACTGCCTCTGAGAGGTGGCATCGGTGGAGTCTGGGGAAGGGGGCCTTGAGGGCCTGGGGTGCTTGGGAACACCCATGAAGAAGGGAATGTGAGTATAAACCCCAGGAGAGTTGGGAGGGAACACCAGAGTTCTACCTGGGCAGTGAGGAGAAGAATGCAAAGCCCTACCCCCAATTCATGCATGACAGCCGAGCCTAGGGCCCAGCTGGTGTAAATCCCCAGGCCTGCCAGGCCCCAGCCAGCCTCAGCAGCACCTGCACCCTCTGGCAGCCCAGAGAAGAATGGAGTAGCCCCCACCCCCACCCCTCTTCCCACAGGCCCGGGGATTAATACTTCCTGCCTCTCCCCATCCCCATGCTGCCCCTTACCAGGAGCAGAGGATGGCAGTGGGAGGGGAAAAGTTTATGTGTGCAAATGTGGGTGTGTAAATGTGTGCATCAGTGTGCATAACAGCAAGCTGGAAAATCTATACGCTTAAGCGTTTAAGTGTGAAAAATCTGCACGTGTGGGGCTAAAAACGGGTGTGGACGTAGGGTGGTCAAGTCGGCACGAGGGCACTGGACTGTGGATCTGAGTGCAGATCTGCCGTGGAGGCATGAGGAAACCCCGTCCCCTGTTTGAGAGGTCGGCCCCTGTATCAGGAGCATCAGGGGAGGAGCTGGGAGCTCCAGATGTGATCCCAAGGCAGCACAGCCTCCGGTCCCCAGGACACCTGCTTGGAGAGTTGGGGAACTGGAGGAAACCAGACATGGCCTTTGCACTGACAGAGGGCAGCACAGAAATTCTTTTCCTAACAAAGCGAAACGGAGTCATGGTGCTGAACACTAGGCCCTCTCCCTGGGCATCCTGGCTCCAGCTCCCAGTCCCTAGCACTGTGGGACTCCAGGTCCAATAGTGGGAGATGCTTCCAGTCTGGGGCTGTGTGAGGACACAGGCCACAGTGGAAAGGAGGGGGTGGGGAAGATGGAAGGCAAGCCATGGTTGGGGGGTAGGGGATAAACATCTGGCTTGTAGGAGAAGGTGACCCTCACCCAGTGTGCTCAACTCACCCTTCAGGTTAAAAATAACCAAGGTAAGGGCCTGGCGGGGCGGGGGAGGTGGTGTGAGAAGGTCCTGTCTTCCCACTATCTGCCCATCAGTCCTGTGGAGAGGAGGAATGTGCCCAAGAACTAAAAAAAGGCCCTGGAGCCGGAGGGGCTAGGGCAACAGACCTTTCATGGGCAAATCTGGAGGCCCTGTTGTCCTCCTGTCACCTCTAGAGCCAAAGGATCAAGGGAGGAGGAGCTGGCAGGGGAAAGAGGTGGGAGGGAGGGTCCCTCCGGAAGAGACTCCAAATTTAGGCAGGGGGAGGGGGCAGTGGGCTATAAAAGGATCAGGGCTCCAAGGACAGACAAACACTCCTCTGAACCAGGTAAGAGGGGATTCCGGTGGGGGCTCTGTGGTCAGCCCTCAGAGCTCCCACTTTGAGGGACTCTATCTTCACAGGAAATGGGGTGAGAAGCCCAAGGGTATGCTAGAAATGCCTTTCTCCAGCCCCAGGAAGTTCCCACTGACAGAGGGGCGATTGCAATGCAAAAACCAGAAACTACTTTTCTCCTCCCATCTGCATCCGTCATCTCCCACTCTCTGTGTCTTCCGAGTCCTGTCTCCATCTTTTTCCCTCCTCCGATGGCTTCCCTCTCTTTATCTGGGTTTATTTCGCCTCTTGGTCTTTTTCAAGTCTTGTCATACTTTGTCTCTCTTCTCCTTGCCCTTCCTTCTCAGTTGTGTGTTCTAATTTCCGTGCCTCTCTCTGTTTCCAACTCTGATTCCCCATCCTGCCCCTCACTTCCCCCCATTGGCCTGCCTCCGTAGTTCTTTATCCTCTTAATCTGTTCTTCTCTGCCTGGCTGCACCTCCGTGGCTCCACCCACGATCCAGACTCTTCAAGATTCTTTGTGAAGCGATAACCAGGTGAGAACTACCCTATTTTCTCCTGAGAGCCAGGTAGCTGGACCAGGGGCTCACTGTCTCTCTCTGAGCAGCTCATTACCTCCCCTTAGCAAACTCCAGCATCATGTCAAAGGGCAAAGAAAACGGGATCGGAGCAGGGAGGGCTGGATCTAGGCCAGGTGCTTCCCAAGGGAGGTACAGGAAGAGAATAATAGG